GGTTGGTCGTGCTGGTGACTGTGATTGGTTGTTGATGTCAACGTTACAGGAGTGCTGGTGTCTGTGATTGGTTGTTGATGTCAACGTTGCAGGAGTGCTGGTGTCTGTGATTGGTTGTTGTTATCATCTGCGTCTTGCACGTTTGTGATTGGTTAACAGGGTTGTCGTCTGCATCGTGCACGTCTATGATTGGTTAACAGGGTTGTCGTCTGCATCGTGCACGTCTATGATTGGTTAACAGGGTTGTCGTCTGCATCGTGCACGTCTGTGATTGGTTAACAGGGTTGTCGTAGTGCACGTCTGTGATTGGTTGACATTGTCTCTGCGTTACAGGAGGGTTGTCGTCTGCGTCGCGGGAGCTGCACGTCGAGGAGGTGGCGGCGCGCGACGAGTTCAACAGCCGCGTGGACGGACACTTCCTGCTCACCCTGTTCCCCGGCCTCGACAGCTTCCCGCCTCCGTTCGCCACCGAGCTACCTGGTGAGCGACCGCACTGAGAGTAGCGCCCTCTATATACCGCGACGTGACGCTAATAGAAGTGTGAAAAACTAGTGCTGTCTTGTAACGGCACCTGGGCTGTCCCATAATCACAGGTAGAGTGTCTTGTATTAAATACTGTAGCTGATAAGTAGTATCTGAATACTGTATCTAATACCTAGTATATAAATACTGTAGCTGATAAGTAGTATCTGAATACTGCAGCTAATACCTAGTATATAAATACGGTACCAAGTTCCTAGTACATGCTGATAGTACCATGATAGTACCCATATACTGTGCATCTCTGTACTATCTCTGTAGGCCTACTAATGCGTGTACTATCGCTGTACTAAACCCTGCGCATCCCTGTGTATATATACTAATCTCTGTACCATCACTGTGTTACTCTAACTCTGTGTTGCCATCATTACTAATTAATATCTGTGCTATCACCATGCTAATTAATATATGTACCATCACTGTACTATTGAATCTCTGTACCATCACTGTACAAATTAGTAATTAACATCTGTACCATCACTGTACAAATTAGTAATTAATATCTGTATCATCGCTGTACTAATTAGTAATTAATATCTGTACCATCGCTGTACTAATTAGTAATTAATATCTGTACCATCGCTGTACTAATTAGTAATTAATATCTCTACCATCACTGTACTAATTAACATCTGCATCTTCTATCTATCGTACAGGTGCTGCTGATCAGCGGAGGCGAGAATCTTGACCCGGCCGCTCGCGTCTGCAGCTACAGCTGCGGCACCGACACCAACCCGCTCTTCCTCTTCAGCAAGGCCACCATCGAAGCATCCAACCCTCCCTCCACCTCCTCCGCCTCCTCCTCCTCCTCCGCCGCCTCCGCCACCGGCGGCGGCGGCGGCGACGACGACCCGGGCGACGCGGACGACCTCCGCGAGAAGGTCGAGGGCTCGCTGAGCATGCCGCCGACGTACAACACGGTGGTCGTGCGCTCGCAGCTCGCTCAGCACGCGTGCGAGGCGGCGCGCGAGCGATGCCGCGCCGCGCAGGCCCTCGTCCGCGATCAGCACCTCCAGCAGCTCGGCTGGGCCGCCGTCGTCGCAAACCTCGACGAGATTTCGACGGCGTTCCGCGCGCGCGTAGACCTCCTGCGTGCGACCTTCGCCACGCACGCTCGCTCGCGCCCCGCGCAGACCGAGACGCTGCGCGGCTACGCCGACGCCCTCTCCCTCCTCGCGCGATCCCGGTTCCTTCCCGCGCTCGTCGCGACGACCGGCGCGACGCGGCAGCAGGACAGCGGCGCGGCGTCGGCCGGCCAGCCGCGCACACTCGTCCGGCAGCGCGCGACGCATCGCGGGCGCCGCCTCCGCCGTCGCCACGACGACGCTGCTCGAGTGGATCGGCCGCAAGGAGACGCGAGCTCCCTCGACACGCTCGCACGACCTGTGCGCAGAAGGCGACTCGAGC